TCACTAATTAAAGAAAAAAAGAACTAGAAAAATTAAATATAATGTAATATAAATGAAAGGATTAAAGCTAAACAAAATAAAAACTAGATAAAAATTCCAATTACATGAAATATTGAGACCAAGAAGCGCTTGTGGTATTGCTTATCGCGGAAAGTCGCAAAAAGCCCTTCTCAGGAGAGATATTAACCCTTATAGTGGTTTGGAGAGGGTCCCATTGGCCGGCTGGAGTTATGAAAGCGCGACCAAGAAATGCTTTACTGATAATATAAAAGGATTTTAAAGAATTCAACAGATAAGCCGAGAAAGATATGATATCAATCATATTTTAAACTAACCTAAGCATTACACCATTCCAATTAACTAACATTATCCATTCTTCATAAGTAGAGTAATCATTAACATTTGTAGCATTAAAATATTTTACTAGGAAATAACCAGTTTCTAAAGGGTATAAGTGTATTGCTTCCAAATTTTGCGGACTAGCCGCAATAAGACAATAATTAAAAGATTGAATCTTCAAGTCAACATCAAGTTCAGTTACGGTTCCGTTGGGATATATTATTCGTAGAGATAATATTTGTTGGAGGCATACTTTATTATTAATGCTATTGGCAGCATCTCTTCGAATAATTCGAACAAGTAAAGTACCATCTTTATAAACATAAGGTTTCCATATTCGAGGGATTACAGAAGATGATTTTGACTCTTGATAAGTAAAGTTAGTAAAACTTGATGCTATTGGCACTATTGCTAGCAATAGTGATATTAAAATCAGCAACGAAACAATCCGATTGAAACCTGATCGAGATTTCATGCCAGATGAATTTAATATATTTGTAGAACTGCTTGAAGAAAAACTTTATAAAACTTTTTACGTGGGTAAAATTAGCACTTTTATGCCAATATTGTCAATGAATATTGAAACAGTAAGTTTTTATTTTTTTTTTTGGATTCCCGTTTATGCTAAAATTGTATCACGAATCGAGGTCAGCCGTAGTGGATAGGTGCAGGAGAAAATATTTTTTTCTTTAAAAGGTCTTAATATAAATAGATTTCAAAGGTGACTAAACAATAAGATATTCACCCTTATTTGTTGTGCATAATTATCTCCTTATTTCTTCAACTCCTAACATGCGTTACTAACCTGCGTTACTACGTTATGCAAAGCATGCAAGAAGATGTAGTACTAACGAAAGAATGCCTAGTTTGATGTACACGATTCGCTATTCATTTATATATACATGTAAAGCAAAATGAAAAAAAATATAAATGGATACTCGCGCTTTAGACCACAAAATCCTGTTTCTGATCACTTTTATATATTTATTCTTTCATATACGTATTTATTCTTTAGGAAGGTATATTTTAAAAATTATCCTTTTTTGGTAACCACGGGTATAAACATAATTATGAAATGAAGAAATTTAATTAATTTATTGTAATTATGTTTAGATGATCTTAGAAACACTACTGCTTTTGACACATAAGTTCATAACAAAAATGAAGGTATAATAAACAAACAAAGCTTACAAAGTTTATTACTATGTTATGTTCATTGGTACCGGTAAAATTCATCTCGGCATGTATATATAAACTTACTTTTATTCCTACTTTTATACTTACTTTTATACTGTATGATGGTTCGATCCCTAACTCAATGAATAACTTAATGAATAACTAACTCAATGAATAACTAACTCCATGAATAACT